TACATTTGGCTTACTCCAACTTTCGGGATGATATAATGGCATCCAAATCCTGGTTCGTTATATTATTTCGATGAAATCCTTCATGATTTATTGCTACATGGCTTTCCAATTCGAAGGTCAAGTTGGTTGGAAGGAATTTTTAAAATGGACTCATCGGAAACCGAAACAGGATCGCAGCGTAGTGAACGCTGTCGGACTGTGCTAAGTCCTCAGTTCATCATCCTGCCACCTCGATGAAGTATTGCAATTAAGAGGTTATATGGCATTATCGTATAGACCAAAAGGCTACTGAAATGAACCCTCAGGATGGATTCTTTTTTAAGTTGGTTTTATAGACTCCCAGTAGATCCTAATTAAAAACTATATTTACCCCATTTCGTTGTATTTTCCCATAATTACATGAGTAGGCCCCTCATATATCCGTGGAAAAAAATTCAACTACCATTCGCCTCAAACAAAATATGGTGACTACAGTTCTTAGCTTAAAAGTAGTTTACTTTATAAGTAGTATCGTACAAATCCATAAATATTTGTTACGCCTCCAGCTTCAGAGCTTCCCTAATTTTCTATTATTTTCATATCCGTTTTTCAGATATGGGCCTCAATTCTACTCATATTGATGGTTACTTCGGTGATGTGCTTCTGCCTTTCCACTCACATCGCCTTTCGCGAGAAAAGCTGGCTGGATCTGGTTGTTAATACGAGTCTCAAGTGTCAGCCTCAGGAGGTGGCACGCAATCCTAAGCTGTATCAGGACTGCACCACTCTACCGAATAGAACTCTTGTCAAGCTGGACATTGTGCTAAATCTTCTCTTTACAGTGGAATTTCTTTTGAAGATCTTACTGGCCCCGGATAAGCGTAAATTTCTGTGCAATCTCGTCTCCCTACTGGATGCCCTGATTCTGGGTGCATTTTGGGCCTACCAGATAACCTATTATTTCAGTTACGTGCATACCAAAGGCCGTCACATTCGAGAAGGCAATGAGTCTGTACCCTGGCTGTTGAATGTCCTCTCCACGGTGCAGGCGCTGCGTATGTTGCGAATCTTCAAGATCTCCAAAATCTCCAGAGGTCTGCGTGTACTAATACTCACAGTGAAGAAGAGCATTCCTGAGCTGGTTTTGCTCGGTTTCCTTCTGATGAACGGCATGTTCATGTTTTCGTCAATGATTTATATGGCCGAGTATAGTGTAAACGATACGTTCCGTGACATTCCAGAAGCATTTTGGTGGTCCTTAATCACGTTGACGACAGTCGGCTACGGTGACGCGTATCCAAAGGGTGGCTGGGGCTACTTGGTAGGGTCAATAGCTGCCATTTCCGGCTGCGTCGTCACGGGTCTGGCCATACCGATTATTGGAAATAACTTCAACACCTACTACAAGTACATGCAAAATCAGCTGAAGGAGGACAAGTACTTGCGTCAATTGTGCCGTGATTTCAAAGAGACTGCGGCTGCGGCGGCCGCCGTCGCCGCGACAACAGCCGCAAATGTTGCCACCGGCACGAGGGCCACATCGGATCGCGGTGGCAGCGATGCTGGTTCGAGGTGTCCAGGTGACTCCGACGAGCCGTGCGCCTTGCCAACAGATCGTCGCTACCTACAACTTCGCAGTGACCTGAAGACGACCAGCATTTCTGCCGAGTATCTGCATCTGCCCGGTGGGTTTGGTGGCTGCGGAACCAGCAGTCATATCGCAAAACGCCG